TCACCGAGAATAAATGAAGACATAAGCCTTCATTTACTATGAGTTACTAGACTAGCAGATGAGATGAATATTAAAAACAAGGGATATCTGGACTTAAAATATCCACAAAATTCTCTTCTGATAAGTTATGGCAGGGTTTCTAACCTCTGCATTATTGACATTTTAAGCCAAGTAATTCCTTGTGGTGGGAAGCTCTCCTATGCATTGTAGGATACTTAGTAGCATCCCTGCCTCTACCTATCAGATGCCATAACCCCCAGGGGACAATCAAAAATGTCTCCAGATATTGCCAACGGTCCCTTGAAATGGCAAAATCACACTTAGTTGAGAAACAGATTTATGGCAACATAGAGAAATACAAGATTACAGTGGTTACTAAGATTCATAAATAACTGAACAGCTATTCATAAGAAATTAAACAGGTATATCCAGGGTGCAGATAATGGCTCAATGTAAATTTTGAAAAAACTTTATTTGCCCCTTGATGCTAACAATTTTAAAAATGATTCAGGAAGAAATACAAAGATAAGTCTATCAAATTTGTAGAAGATGTAAAATCAGATGATGAAAAAGTAAGTGAATGACATAGTATTTCATGGTGTGTACAAAAAGAAAAAAAGAAAAAGAAAAATGAAAAAATAAGTGGATGACAGACATCCAAAAACTTACTGGATCTGTCCACAGGGAGGGAGAGCAGGCAGGCTAAGACATTAAGTTATAAAAAAGCAAGCTGCAGAAACTTTATAATAAGATGCTACTCAAATAAATACATGTATATGTGTGCATACGTATATATAAATATACACATATATTCAATATATACACACAAATATGAATATATACACACATATAAATATATACACACAAATAAATACATATGTGTATATGTGTGTGTTTAACATAGCTATGTAAGGCAAAAGGGCTAGATGAGGGAATGGAACATTTACTTAGGTAATTTAAAATAATAATCTAGGCCGGGCGCGGTGGCTCACGCCTGTAATCCTAGCTCTCTGGGAGGCCGAGGCGGGCGGATTGTTTGAGCTCAGGAGTTCGAAACCAGACTGA